TTTTATTCTCGTCAGATCCGGCGAGGGCGGTCCTTGGGCCGGACATTAGAAGCTAAATTAAAAACCAAGAAAAGGAAGAAGAAAAAAAAATTGATTCTCAAAATTGTTCCCAGAATCAAGAAGCTACTTTTTTTTTATTCTTAATTCTGCTCCAAAACTGATTCTGGAAACAATTTTTGACAAAATTGTGCCCAGAATCAAAAAATTAAACAAACGCATTTCTGTTCCCAAACTGATTCTGGGAACAAAAGAACAGAATCAAACACTGTTTGGCGAGTTATCATGCGCAGCCTAACCCATATCTATAATCCATTTGTTATGTCTTAATATGCTTTTATCGATAAAAATATTTTCATTATAATATAGTGTTGAAATACACGTCCAAGATTGCAAACTGAAAAAAAAATATCGTATTGGAAATGTTATGTGATGGGAAGCTTTTAATATATTCTAATTAGCCTATAACTAAGCAGTTAAGCTTTTAAATCAACGTGGCTCCAAAGATGATTGAATGAGATGAAGTCCTTTATCCATATTAATTTGCTTGTACGCTCGATAGCAACAATTGGGCCGGAAAAAGAGAAGATCCTGAAAAGATAGTTTGACTAATATTTTAAGGCATACTTACATCTATTGAGCTAAAAGCTTCAATGATTGGTCAGAGAACATTTCCAAGAATGTTTCTTAACACGATTATTAAACAATACATCGGAAAGAATCAAAGAACCAGAGCAAACCAACAACATTAATAGACAATTAAGAATGTACGATTTGAACAAACTGCCACTTCAGTTCACCCTCCGGCAATTCAAGCGAATCTGGCCCTGGTTTCCTATCAACGGCTTTATATTTCCCATCTTGACCATCGACTTCGCAAAATCATCCCAAAAGGCCTCGACATCATCACTGTAAGTTTTCACCAGCTCATTCGTTGACCCACCACTGTAGAGTGCCTGATCCGAGTGAAGAAGCCCCTTTTGCGTCAACAGATTATGGAAGTACAATGCGTCGAATTGAGCTGGCGAAGGATCCAAATGGGCGAGGTTACTGTCCTGTCCAGTACGCGGGCACGAAGACCGGAGGCTCCTGGCGAAATGGGTGGCGATGTTGGTGTCGTTGTATGTGCGATTCCTGAAAGTGAAACATTGCGCGAACCCGATCGTGTGCGCACCGCTCAGCGCAACCAAGTCCTTAGTGTCGAGCCCTTGCTTTTGGAACGTGTTGATCAGTGCAGGCAAGTCCATGTTCGGCGCAGGAAGGTCGTTGTTGGCTGTTGTCCTACTCGCCGTGGTCGAGTCCCTCCTTCCAAGCTGTACTTCCCATGAAGGCCCTCCAAGCTGAAATATGAAAGTCAACATTTTAAATTCAAATTGAGCTGTTCTTAGATATTTGCAATGTGAGCCTACACATAGTGCGTTCAATTAGCTGGAGACAATCTCTTTTACTTGTCTGCACTGTAATTTAGCTTAAATGAAGACATCTTACGTGGCATTAAGATTGGACTTACCGCAACAACGGAGTCACGAGCTGCGATGGCCAAGATGTCGGCACACGATACAAGTGAGTATCCACAAGCTTTGTCAACCTCCGCTTTAATTTGATCGATCACTTCGAACCCTCTAGCCGAATTGTTATTTGGGCCGGCGAGCTTTTCGCTGTGAATGTTAGTGGTCTCATCCAAAAGTATCGAAGCATCGCAACCCTACATCATTACGTGACCAAAAAAGAATGAAGTCAGCAAATGTGTGCCACGCTAAATAACTTGTGCGAATTTAAGAGCATAGTGAACGTGTCGTACGTTAACGAAGCAGTCATGGAAGTGCAAACGGAGTAAGGAAGCGCCCATGCGTCGCTCCTGTTGCACCGCCGCCTCGACGACGCGTTTGATGGCGGGCAAGGCTTGAGGGCAAACGTAGTCGTAGAAGTATGGCGTGAGGCCTTCCTTGTAGGGCCGCGTCGAGAAAGCCGAGGTCGCGAGAGATAAGAAGAGAAGTGCACGGAAGAGGCTGAGGCTGCTTGAAGCCATATTTAGCTGTCGCAGTTAGCGAGGATTGGAGCGAGACTATGAGTAATTCTGCTTCAATTGATGGTGCTTTCGAGCTTGGTTTGTTGAGTTTTTGGATTTCTCGTTTCTGTATAATTTATAGGGAGGGGGAGAGACATAGACTTTATGTTTCCTTGGACTTGGCCAAAAGAGATCTTGTCATACAAGACTGCGTGTGGAAGCTCATGAGCTGGTTATACCCACAGACGCAAGAAACTGAGATCATCTACTTAACTTTTCAACTTAAAAAATTGAATCAGTCATGTAAGGTCTACTTAGTCTTAGGCATTGTAGTTTTTTATTGCATCAATTTGGTCAATGTAGTTATATTCATTTGTTGGCTTGGTGTCCTACCAAATGGAAGAAAGAGTGCACAATTATGTTGAGTTTTCAGTGTGAATAAGAGTTTCTAGATTTTACATTGCAGACTTTTCATGGGAGAGTGGTTGTGAAGTCAAACCATGAGCAAATGGCTCGAGTTGAAATTAAGAACACTGTAAATTCAGATCTGTTCCGTGTACACGCGTGTGGTAGATTGGGTCGAAAGGAAGCAATCGTGTATATGACACCTCCTCCATTTGTTTTAATAATTCGAATAAGCCAAACTATTGCATTATTTTTACTTTGTAAAACTCTAGACACGAGCGCAGAGTCCTGGCTAATGACTTTCAATTAGAGCAATCCGCACATAGTTTGATGAGATTCGAGCAAGTGACCTCCTAGATCTCAAGTTGAAAAATCACCTTGGACTCCATCCAGTTACGCCAACTTTGTCAGTTTGTGGAGTTGATATTAGCAAGCTCAATTTTACGTAAGATGGCTTTGTTCTTATTAAATTGACGCCGTCTTCCGTGAAAATCTTAGTCTCATAATCACTGAGATAAATAAGGTAACCTCCTTAATTTAATTTCAAATTTTAAAAAATACATGTACATTGGACTATCCAAAAAATAACAAGACTTAACTAAATAGATGAATTGTCCTTAATACGTTAAGCAAGCGAAATGGCTTTTCACCCAAAAAAACATAAAATGAAAAGGGATGCACTCTAAGTGGCGTGGAATTGTATGAAGGCAATGGGATTCCTATTTTCGGGAAATAACTATCGCTTCCGCCTATATTTTTTTGGATGAATATCCTAAAACAATCTTGATTGTTCGCACTTTTTTCTTGGAAAAAAAAAAGCCAAATAATACTTATTTAGAAGACTCCAAAATTAAATTTTCCGTGCCAAATAATTCTCTATTAACACAGTATTAGGTGTAGACCTGATCAATGGACGACCTTATATCGACCTAAAAATAATTGTCCAAGCCGACTTATGATTTAAAAGATATTAAATTTTCTTTATGAAACGATAGCACGAACGGGACCAAGAGAGCCTATGTGAGAGGGCTTAGATACAAGAAGGATAATGGTTGCCAGACCCGCCAAAAATGTGCTTCAGGCCTCATTGGTAGGGGTGTCTAAGTTGTGACGAAGTGCCCGATGAGATCTAGTTAGGAGTGTCGTTAAAGTTTTGAAGCGGAAAAAATCTTGCATGCTCTGTCTAATGGTGGATGTGCACTTGAGCTCACGACATCGAGCATGCAAGTTTGGCTCTTGGAGGTGGGGACTGATACGACATAAATCTAAGAAGTTGAAAAATCATCAAAATTGAAAAACAAAAAATTTCGAGAGCTCTATAAACTTAAATTAGTTAAGCACAGAATTCAAGGTTTTCTCAAAATATTTGTTCTTTTACCTTTAAACTTCACTTACTTATCGATTTGGTGAGCATAGATATATTGCAAACACTACGCTTCTAGATAGTGATTCGACAAGCAAAAGCTTTTAATCAACTCTAAAAACCCTAACCTTAGTAGTGATATTAATAGTTGTGAAATACCCGCGGAAACTAATGATCTTGCAAATCAAGTCTAATGCAGAAAGAAAAAATTACGAGAAATCAACAATAGAAACATAGTTGTTTCACGGTTGAGCGTGGCCAATCATTTGGTTGTAGACTTGCACGTATTCTTCTTCCGCTGTATCAGTTTGCATATGTGCGGTATGCACATCAGCTAGCATATCACTTGCTCTACGCATTAGACATTATTAAGATACGTTAGATTAGCAAATAAAGATCAGATAAGATGAGGACATATCACAAGATTTTATACACGTGGCAAAGATTATGAACTATGATGGGAATAAATCCTCGCACATCCATTTTCTTGAAGTCCATATACATAGATTCGTTTTGCCATTTCATGCATCTACTCTATAATTTCTTTTAACAATATTTCCTTTTGCAAATTTTTATAGATTCATCAGCCACTTGCATGCAATCTTAATTTGTAAAGTTTATATATAAAGTTTATCCATAATATATGCATGCAATCTTAAATTCGCTGATGAAATTTGTGTACTCACTAAAATCTTATTTAGTGTGGAGTTGCATGAAATCTACAACGTGATTGGTTCGATTTGCAGAGACGAGTCCAAAAATTTAGCGCATGCTTTCAGAAGTCTTGACCATTGGGAAGCTACTGGCTCACCTGATATACTCTACTAAATTGTGCCTGGTCAATGAGGGTTAAGTCAATTGTTCGAAAAAAAAAAGGGTTAAGTCTTCACGCTTCTGTGGTAATAAATTTATGGATGTCACTTGTCTAATTTATGCATTTACCTTTCACGTTGTATAAGGGTAAAAAATATTGTTATTTTATATACATCATGTTGTTTTCCTCGTCACGTATTTCTGATGACCTATGAACATTAAAAATCTAGAATTTTATGAGCAAGAGTCCTTCAAACACTTACGGAGTAGTCAAAACCAAAAAAATATAAAATAAAAAATGGAACGGATCGAAGATTGGATCAGAGTGTCCTCCAAAGATGATTGAATGAGATGAAGTCCTTTATCCATATTAATTTGCTTGTACGCTCGATAGATACAATTGGGCCGGAAAAAGAGAAGATCTTGAAAAGATAGTTTGACTAATATTTTAAGGCATACTTACGTCCATTGGGCTTAAAGCTTCAGTGATTGGTCAGAGAACATTTCGAAGAATGTTTCTTAACACGATTATTAAACAATAAATCGGAAAGAATCAAAGAACCAGAGCAAACCAATAACATTGATAGACAATTAAGAATGTACGATTTGAACAAACTGCCACTTCAGTTCACCCTCCGGCAATTCAAGCGAATCTGGCCCTGGTTTCCGATCAACGGCTTTATATTTCCCATCTTGACCATCGACTTCGCAAAATCATCCCAAAAGGCCTCGACATCATCACTGTAAGTTTTCACCAGCTCATTCGTTGACCCACCACTGTAGAGTGCCTGATCAGAGTGAAGAAGCCCCTTTTGCGTCAACAGATTGTGGAAGTACAATGCGTCGAATTGAGCTGGCGAAGGATCCAAATGGGCGAGGTTACTGTCCTGTCCAGTACGCGGGCACGAAGACCGGAGACTCCTGGTGAAATGGGTGGCGATGTTGGTGTCGTTGTATGTGCGATTCCTGAAAGTGAAACATTGCGCGAACCCGATCGTGTGCGCACCGCTCAGCGCAACCAAGTCCTTAGTGTCGAGCCCTTGCTTTTGGAACGTGTTGATCAGTGCAGGCAAGTCCATGTTCGGCGCAGGAAGGTCGTTGTTGGCTGTTGTCCTACTCGCCGTGGTCGAGTCCCTCCTTCCAAGCTGTACTTCCCATGAAGGCCCTCCAAGCTGAACTATGAAAGTCAACATTTTAAATTCAAATTGAGCTGTTCTTAGATATTTGCAATGTGAGCCTACACATAGGCCGTTCAATTAGCTGGAGACAATCTCTTTTACTTGTCTGCACTGTAATTTAGCTTAAATGAAGACATCATATGTGGCATTAAGATTGGACTTACCGCAACAACGGAGTCACGAGCTGCGATGGCCAAGATGTCGGCACACGATACAAGTGAGTATCCACAAGCTTTGTCAACCTCCGCTTTAATTTGATCGATCACTTCGAACCCCCTAGCCGAATTGTTATTTGGGCCGGCGAGCTTTTCGCTGTGAATGGTAGGGGTCTCATCCAAAAGTATCGAAGCATCGCAACCCTACATCATTACGAGAGCAAAAAAGAATCAAGTCAGCAAATGTGTGCGCCGCTAAATAACTTGAGTGAATTTAAGAGCATAGTGAACGTGTCGTACGTTAACGAAGCAGTCATGGAAGTGCAAACGGAGTAAGGAAGCGCCCATGCGTCGCTCCTGTTGCACCGCCGCCTCGACGACGCGTTTGATGGCGGGCAAGGCTTGAGGGCAAACGTAGTTGTAGAAGTATGGCGTGAGGCCTTCCTTGTAGGGCCGCGTCGAGAAAGCCGAGGTCGCGAGAGATAAGAAGAGAAGTGCACGGAAGAGGCTGAGGCTGCTTGAAGCCATATTTAGCTGTCGCAGTTAGTAAGGATTGGAGCGAGACTATGAGTAATTCTGCTTCAGTTGATGGTGCTTTCGAGCTTGGTTTGTTGAGTTTTTGGATTTCTCGTTTCTGTATTTATAGGGAGGGGGAGAGAGATAGACTTTATGTTTCCTTGGACTTGGCCAAAAGAGATCTTGTCATACAAGACTGCGTGTGGAAGCTCATGAGCTGATTATACCCACAGACGCAAGAAACTGAGATCATCTACTTAACTTTTCAACTTAAAAAAATTGAATCAGTCATGTAAGGTCTACTTAGTCTTAGGCATTGTAGTTTTTTATTGCATCAATTTGGTCAATGTAGTTATATTCATTTGTTGGCTTGGTGTCCTACCAAATGGAAGAAAGAGTGCACAATTATGTTGGGTTTATAGTGTGAATAATAGTTTCTAGATTTTCCATTGCAGACTTTTCATGGGAGAGTGGTTGTGAAGCCAAATCACAAACAAATGGCACGAGTTGAAATTAAGAACACTGTAAATTCAGATCTGTTCCATGTACATACGTGTGGTAGATTGGGTCGACAGGAAGCAATCGTGTATATGACACCCCCTCCATTTGTTTTAATAATTCAAATAAGCCAAACTATTGCATTATTTTTACTTTTTAAACTCTAGACACGAGCTCAGACTCCTGGCTAGTGACTTTCAATTAGAGCAATCCGCACGTAGTTTGATGAGATATGAGCAAGTAACCTCCTACATCTCAAGTTGAAAAATCACCTTGGACTCCATCCAATTACGCCAACCTTGTCAGTTTGTGTAGTTGATATTAGCAATCTCAATTTTCCGTAAGTTGGTTTTGTTCTTATTAAATTGACGCTGTCTTCCATGAAAATCTTAGTCTCATAATCACTGTGATAAATAAGGTAATCTCCTTAATTTAATTCCACATTTAAAAAATACATGTACATTGGACTATCCAAAAAAAAAAAAAACCAAGACTTAACTAAAGATGAATTGTTCTTAATACATTAAGCAAGCGAAATGGCTTTTCACCCCAAAAAAACATAAAATAAATAAGGGATGTACTCTAAATGGCGTGGAATTGTATGAAGGCCATGGGATTCCTATTTATGGGAAATAACTATCGCTTCCAACCAATATTTTTAGGCTGAATATCCTAAAAAATCCTGACCATTTGTACTTTTTTCTTGGAAAAAAAGCCAGATAATACTTATTTAGCAGACTCCAAAATTAAATTTTCCTTGCTAAATAATTCTCTATTGACATGGTATTAGGTGTAGACCTGATCAATGGACGACCATATATCAACTTAAACGTAATTGTCCAAGCCGACTTATGATTTAAAAGATATTAAATTTTCTTCTGAATCGACGACCCGAATGGGACCAAGCGAGCCTATGTGAGAGGGCTTAGGATCAAGAAGGATAATTTGCTAGATCTGCCCAAAATTTGCTTCAGGCCGGGAGAAGGATACTATAAGTGCCAAAAGTTAAATATGGCGTTCACTTTGATGCCAAAAGTTTCTTTTGGATCACTAAAGTGTCAAATTTTTTTAAAAACGATCATTTAAGTGCCAACCCCGATATGATTGGTCGGATATCCAATGAGCATTTTTTTTATTATTTTCTGAAGCCGACGTGGGTCGCTGGAGGTCCAATCAGCATGTCAACAATAAAGACGATGTCGTTTGGTCGATTTCTCCCAAATAACAATCCTAAATCCCCAATTTGAAAGAGAACCCAATTTACAGATCCAAAAAAAAACAAAAAACAGAAAGAGAACTCAATTTGGAAACCCTAATCAGCCGATTTGAGCATCTGTTTCGGTTCGCCCCCAAATTACCCGAGAAGCTCCCGATGTACAGATCTCCATTAGGGAGTGGCTTCTCGACGGTCCTCCCGGTGGTGGCGGTGACCGCCTAGGTGACTCGACGTGTCTTGGCTTGCGATCGGCTCCGGTTGACGACGATTGGAGGCGCGACGACGAGCGCGAGGGGCTTGTGGCTGTCCTTGTCAGAGACCATCGTGACCCTAATTCTGTCCTCCCCCTCCGACGATTTCTTCTTCTTGGTCAGCGAACTCGTGTCATCCAGCAACACCGCCTCGTGCATATTTTTTTGGTTGTCCCCACTCCACTGGAGCTTTACAGCAAATCAAACACCTCTCCTCCTTTGAAAATTTGAGGCTCTCTCTTTCTCGGATAATCCATTGGAAGCACCGCATTAGCGGCGGCGAGCCCACCATCGGAGCGACATTCAGCGGTGGTTTCTCGGTACAGAAGTCCCCTCTCTGTCACTCCAGAGATTGGCGACTCAACACTCGGGGAGAAGAACTACGTCGTTTTTCATGTCCACATGGATTGTGTTTTAAAAAATATGCCATGTCATATTTTTTTTAATTATAAAAGCCATGTATTAATTTTGATCGGAATTTCTCGCCGTTGCCGCTTAAGTGATCGTTTTTTCTTCAATTTGGTACTAAATTGATCGAGCGAAAACTTTTGACACCAAAGTAAACATTGTATATAACTTTTGACACTTGTAATATCGTTTTCTCGCTTCAGGCTTCATTGGTATGGGGGTCTAAGTTGCGACGAAGTCCCTGACGAGATCTAGTTAGGAGGGTGGTTAAAGTTTTCAAGTGGAAAAAATCCTGCATGCTTTGCCTAAAGGTGGATGTGCAGTTGAACTGACGACACCGAGCATGCAAGTACGGCTCTTCGAGGTGGGGACTGATATGGCATAAATCTAAGAAATTGGAAATTCATCAAAATTTAAAAACAAAAAAAATTTGAGAGTTCTGATAAACTTAAATTAGTTAAGCACAAAATTCAAGATTTTCTCCAGATATTTGTTCTTTTATCTTTGAACTTCACTTACTTGTCGATTTGGTGAGCATAGATAGATTGCAAACTCTACACTTCTAGACAGTGGTTAGACAAGCAAAAGCTTTTAATAAACTCTAAAAATCCTAACCTTAATAGTGATATTAATAGTTGTGAAATACAGCAGAAACTATTGATCTTGCAAATCAAGTCTAATGCAGGAAGAAAAAATTACATGAGAAATAAACAATAGAAAAATAGTTGCTTCATGGTTGAGAGTAGTGTTTGGAACGTAGAGACGTGTGCGGCAACTAGCATAGCGCTAAGTCTTCGTGAGTTCTCGATTGCGAGTCTTGCAGGGATGAATGAATGGAAGGCGATATCACAGTGAAGGGTTTGGAACTGTCGCTGAACCAGGTTTTGCTATGCCGCGATATTCTAGTAGGGATGAAATCGACATATGCTGGTTTATCACATCTCATGAGCACATGATCACTGCTCGTCACAAAGTCGTGGGCCAATGATAGTTCGCATTACGTCGTATGGGATGGCTGATGATAAGCCTACAAGAAAAGATTAAGGAACGGTTCTGACCGTCTTTAATGAGCCTTACTTCGATTGAAAATTCTCTCAAAACTTCCAATACAATATGAATGGTTCGAGATCCTGTCACAGTTCTCGAGTTAATACTACGGTTTCATTGCTGTGAGTGTATCCTGATAAATGGTCCTCATTATTAGCAATTAAGGGAAACAAAATTGCTCCATGGTTGAGAGTGGCCTATCATTTGCTTGTAGACTTGCATATATTCTTCTAACGCTGTATCAGTTTGCATATGTTCTGTGTGTACATCAGCAAGCATATCACTTGCTCTACGTATTAGACATTATTAAGATACGTTAGATTAGCACATAAAGAGTACTTTGTTCGGAAGAGAAGTAAACTTGGCTCTAAGGAGAAACTCCATTTTATACTCAACAATTTTATTACCGAGGCACAAAGGTACATTCTGACGAAAATTTTGTTCTTAAGAATGAACTAATCACAGCAAAGAATACAATGGTACACTTTCAACAGACAAGTAAAATTAAAAAAATCATGACAACTCAGCGTATTTTTAATGGAATCAGTGGCTTCTTACTACCCTGAATTCAATTCACTATCCGGCAGTTCGAGCGGATTTGACCTTGGTTTCCGATCAATGGCTTGATGTTTCCCATTCTGACCATCGATTTAGCGAAGTCCTTCCAGAATGCATCATAATCGTAGCTATAACTCTTCACTAGCTCAAGCGTGGATCCATCTGTTGAAAGTGCCTGATCGGAGTGAAGAAGGCCCTTCTGGGTCAACAGGTTATTGTAGTACAATGTGTCGAAACTTGCAGGCGTTGGATCTAAACTTGCAAGGTTACTGTCGCTTCCCGTGCGTGGGCAGGAGGACTGAAGGTTCTTCGCGAAAGCATGGTTGATGTTGCTGTCATTGTATATCCTGTCCCTGAAAATACGGCACTGTGCGAAGCCGATCGTGTGAGCGCCGCTCAGCGCGACCAAGTCCTTGACCTTAAGACCTTGTCTCTTGAAATTGTTAATTAAGGCGGGCAAGTCCATGTTCGGCGCAGGAATGTCGCTGTTTGCTGTTGTCCTGCTTGCCGTCGTCGAGTCTCTTCTTCCAAGTCGTACTTTCCATGAAGGCCCTCCTAACTGAAATTGAAAGAAGTATAAAGCCTAATTCAGATTGGCAATGTCTTATGGCACAAAAAGATCAACTAAGCTTATGATGAGTCTAAATTCAGGTTTGCTAATTAAGGGTCATCACGGGATGTAGTAAAACTAGACGTACCGCAACGACGGAGTCACGGGCAGTGACGGCCAAGATGTCTGCACAAGATACCACCGGACGTCCGCATACTCTGTCGACCTCCGCCTTAATTTGGTCGATCACTTCAAACCCTCTAGCTGAATTGTTATTCGGAAGAGCGAGCTTTTCGCTGTCAATGGTCGGGGTCGGATCCAAGAGTATCGATCCATCACAACCCTGCATCATTCAACACCCAAACATACATCAATGTTAGCAAATATTGTGCAATCGAAATTAATAATTGCTAAATTTAGAACAACAAATTAATGTGAAATTTAGTCATATATGTCTTACATTGACGAAACAGTCGTGGAAGTGCAAGCGCAGCAAGGAAGCGCCCATGCGTCGCTCTTGCTGCACCGCCGCCTCGACGACACGCTTGATG